TGAAACTAAAATAAATAAAAATCCTAATGATGTTAAGAATGAAATCGACCAAGACCAATTGGAAAATGAGGTGGAGGCTTATTTGGTTTATTATTTGAGCAAAAATTAGTTATGTTTTGTTTTAAGTGTAATGAAATATTAGAAAATGAGAAATGTAAGAGATGTGAGAGAGAGGAAAAAAGTTTTAGCCAAGAATTAGGAAATAATTATTATTTGGCTGATGAAGAAGTAGTTTTGGTGAGTGTCCCCACGGCCGATATATTTGGTGGTCCAATGTTTATTTCTGTTTTTGCTAAGAAAGACCCACGGAGGGACTACAAGGGCTATGCTTATATTCTCCGTCCCAGTGAATTTGCCAAAGACCCTAATAAAGAAATGCATATCCATGTTTTAGGAGAAAAAGGAAGCATGAAAGTTCGTTTAAATCCTGTGGAAAGGGACACCGATCGACCAACTGACATTCCTCCTAATTTAGAAAGAAAGTTAATTAGGTTTGTTGCTGATAACATAATTGATATCAAAAGGAGAATAAGAGAAGAGTTAGAAAAAAGAAATATTAAGGTCCCTCCATTTTAAATTTTAAAATTATTATATGACAAGGCCAAGACAAGAAGAGGTAAAAATTAGTAAGATAGAAGGCAAAAATGTTTTTTTAAAAGAACACTGACACCCAAAAATAATTAATTGCCAAATAAATCAGGAAAAAATAACAGTGAAGTTAGAGGATGAAAGGGAAGTGAGTTTGCCAATTGATTTAATTTTTAAAGAATGATTTTGCTTAAAGGAAGTTAAACCCGAACAATTAAAGAACTATAAAATATGAGGAGGGGGATATACTGTTTTTTTTCCTGAATTGGATGAAGATATACCAGTTAGAATATTTACCGAGGGAATTAATTCTCCTTGTTGTTGCTAATAAATATAAGAACTAAAAAATATAAGCATTCACCAATTAGAGGCTTATTTGGTTTATTATCTTTTTAAAGGGAATTGTTAAATATTTGCTTATTTTTGTTAAGATTGTTAAGGTTGAGTAGTTTTTATTGGAAAAGTAAAAATGAAGCAAAAAGTATTATATTCATCTATGATTAGATTTTTATTATTCCAACCTAATTCCAACTTGTTAATGACAATTAGGACAAATCCCTTTTCGTCCTTCTGTAAATACTTCTACTCCGACATGAGCATCTATTAAAGGGAAAAAGATTAATTTGCCACCCCAAATCTCATATTTTTCTAATTGTTGAGGTTTGATGTTTTCATGACCCCATTCTTTAAATCAGTTAATTGGAATACTAGTTTTTCGACCATCCCCCAAAAAAGCCGTAATTTCCTCCCTTTCTATTCCCAACTTGATTATATCTGGGTGAAAACAAATTTCCTCCTCTCTCATAATTTTTTTTGGTTCATTCAAGGTTTTAATTATTTTGGTCCCGTTCTAAAACTTTTATCCAAGATTTAATTTTTTCTTTTTCTTCTGGGGTTAAGTTAGGGTTGTTTAGTTGGTTTTTTAGTTTAGTGATTTCTTGGGTCATAATTTTAGCAACAGCCACAATAATTACCAGTAAAAATTAAGACACTAGTATAAATATCGGCTATGGGAAAATTAATATTAAATTGGCAAGGAAATATTTCATAATCTTTTAATTGCTCGGCCTTTAAATTAGGTTTGCCTCATCTTTTAGCCAATTCACTAATGGGAATACTTATTTCTCTCTTGTCCTCTAAATAAGCCGTGATTTTGGTTTGGTTGACTTTTAATTTAAGTAATTTGGGGTGCAAATGTTCCCTCCCCTCTATTTTTGGAATATTAATTGGTTGTTCTCTTAAACTTTCATTTTGTCTAACTACTACCATATAATAGATTTATTATCTAATTCATTCATCTTTTCACTCTTGGTAAATTAACTCTTTATTGTTCTGGACTAACTTCCATATTTCGGTTTGGTCGGATCCAGAAATCTTACCCAATTTTAACTTTTAATTTTAGCAACAACAATTAGCCTCTAATCCTTCACTGAAATATCGAGCTGGAATTACTTCATTAATTTCGGGAAAATATACACTTTCCCCTTCGTTTTCTATTTCATAACTAGTTAATTGTTCTAATTTAATGTCTTTATATCCTCAACTCGTTAATCATTCTAATAAAGGGGCTTTTATTTCTCGTCCATCATCTAAAAAGACAATTATTTTCCCTTTTTCAATTTTTAAGTTAGTTATTTTGGGGTGAGTATGTTTTTTATAATATATTCCTCCTTTTTCTCAACATTCGGGATGATAAAAGTAGCCATTAACCTCATTATTGATAATATAAGTAGAGAAGTTTTTTTTTTGACAATAACCACACGGACTAATAAATTGAGTATCAGCACAATTTTTATGGATTAAATTATATATCTCTTTTGCCCCTCGGCAATCACTATAAATTACCTGATATTCTTGGTTTTGGATATCAGAATTAGAAAATACCCCCCCACATTTATCACATGAAAAACCTTTAATTATTTCTTTTCAGGAAGAAACCTTTTTTATATCTTTCATATATATTATTTTTGTTGGCTTCGTTTTTTTTGTTTTCTTCAATATCTCATTATGACGTATCTATATCTATCCATAACTTTCAAGACATCGTTTTTTATTTCAGGAGGAATACGAATACTGTTGCCTTTTTCTCGTACTCCTTTATAACTAACCCAAACATCCATTATTCCTTTATCAGTTCGGACATGAACGTGAACTCCTTTATGTGCTTCTAAAACCTCTCCTGCTGGAAAACTAGTATCATATTCGGTAATTTCTCTTATTTTTGGTAAAGTCAATAATTCCTTTTCTCCTGTTTTAGTTTCTATGGTGTCATTAGTTCAATTATCAGGAGAAGTAAATGTTTCAACCCTTTCTCCATGATTTTCGACAGGAGGGTTAACAGTTCAACAACCTTCACAAAACATAAATCCCTCTTCTATCTCTTTTTTACAAGTTAAGCATTTTTCTTTCATTTTATAACTATTTTTAAATCTCCTCCTCTTCCTCGCCTTCCCCCTCTTCTTCATCTTCGGTTTCTTCTTCCTCCTCTTTTTCACTCTCTTGCTCCTTTTCTTTCTCTTTTTCGGTTTCTGTTTCTTTCTCGTCCTCTTTTTCCTTCTCCTCTTCTTGCTCTTGCTCTTCTTCGTGTTCTTTTTCCTCTTCGTCCTCTTGCTCGACTTCGGCCTCCCTTTCTCTTTCCTTTCCTAATTTATCTAACATTTCATTTTCGTTTTCTTCCTCAAATTCTTCTTCTATTTCATCCTCCACCTCATTTTCCAATTGGTCTTGGTCGATTTCATTCTTAACATCATTAGGATTTTTATTTATTTTAGTTTCA